GTATAAAAATGCAAGTTTCGCTAAAAATATCAGTATTTAGTTCGAATCAAAATTAATTGCATCCAATCGTGATTAAAATGATTTCTGCCGTAAGTACCATATTTATATAAATATTTATGCTTTATTAATTTAAGGAAGTTGGAAAACTATACTGTGGCGCAAAACATTCTTAAAAACTAATTGTACCAGTTGTATCTGCTAAATTCGATTTGGTAAAACTGTTGAAACATTGCCATGAAACAAAATAAATGGTATATATTAATTTAAGAGGAAAAGTTAAAAATTTTCACCATTTTTTAAAATCGTCAGAAATCTTGCATTTGTAAAATACTGAAACTTTTTATTTTTAATCTGATTTTTAATAATTTTTTTGCATTTTGTTTTACTGCTAATTTTTAACAAGTTTACTAAATAAAATTTTATAGATGTATCTTTTACAATCAGTTACTTCCAGAGTTGTAGTGTCAGAAAACTTAGTTTTGTGCAAAAATAGTAAAAAACGATACACTTCTGTAAAATTTAGTTTAGTGAAACTGTTAAAACTTGACAATGAAACAAAATAATCGTTTGATATGAAAATTTTGATCAGAGGAAAGTTTGAATATTTTAAAGGTATATGGTTTTTGACCATTTTCATTTTCATTTTTCATCTAATTTTTAATATTTTCTTTTTCATTGCTAGTGTAAGAGCTTAACTAAATTAAATTTTGCAAATTGACTCATAGTATTACTTAAGTACCTATTTACAAAGAAATTGAAGATTGAATTTTTATTTCAAAATATTAAAAAATTATTTGTACCAATAAATTATCTTAGGATAGATGCGAGACATTTAGAACAATTAGCTTAACTTAGCATGCGTCAAAAATCTTATAGAATTATACAGAGGAGGATGGAAAACAGGGCGGAAGAACTATTAGGGGAAGATCAATTTGGGTTTAGAAGAAATAGAGGAACGCGGAGGGTCATTCTAGCTTTACGGGTAGCAATAGAGAAAACGATAGACAAAAAGAAAGAGTGCGTACATAGGACAAGATGTTAAATATACTTAAAAATGTAAGGATGAGTTACAAAAATAGAAGAGTGAGACTTAGTTTGTATAAAGAGCAACAGGCAGTTATAGAGATGGGTTGCAACGTTGAGAAGTACATATTAGGAAGGGAGTCAGGCTGGGATGCACACTGTCACCACTAATTTTTAATCTATACCTACATTGAAGCGCGATCAACATCATTAAAGATAGGACAACTGTAGGGATTGATATACAGGGGCAAAAGATTAGTATGCTTAGATTTGCAGATGATATAGCAGTATTAACATCTAGCAAGGAGGAGTTAGAGATACAATAAACTTCCAGTCAGATTGCATATATCTGTGGCTTGGAACTAAAAGGACGAGTATCAATATTTTGTTGTTTTGAGTAAACCATTGTATTAGATTCCTTTTCCTGTCGTGTTTTGTTTGCTAAAACGTTCAGTGGTAGTGGTAGCCAACGTCATTATGAATTCATTTACGTCAGTTTACGATCAAGTTTACAGTATGTATGTCATACATTTTTTTTTCAATTTTTTTAAAAGTGATTATTATTTGTTGAGCCAAAGTTGTTAAGTAAAGCATGAGCTTCATCTAAGCTAGAATTAAAAGTATTTTTAACAAAAACTTCACCGGCAATTTTCTCAAATGTGATATTGGCCCTTTCGACTACAAGCCACAGATATTTTACGTATGAAGGTCATTGCATAATGTTTATTTATATTGAGAAACATATTATTTTCATGGAACCATTGGGCTACATAATTTAAATCAGTTTGTAAATTGGATTAATCTTCCTTAGAAGAGATAAATTTAAAAATTTTAAAATCATTTGCAAAAAAATAATAATTCAGAAAACAATTATATTTGGCAGACTATAAATATAGCAAATAGTATTGACCCAAGAATGCTATCTTGAGGAACCTCCCCAGCTAAATCTGACGATCCACGTTGTCAAAAGCCTTAGTACAACCAATGTATTTACATTCATTTTTTTTTATTATCTTCATTAGTGTTTTATTAGTCTAATAATTGCAGAATTCGATAAAATATTAATTCCTATTTTTCTCAGGAATGTGGAAGTTTCAAGAATTATAAATTTTATCATCACTGTTACCAGTATCATTTCTAGATGGTGATACATATAAACATATATTTAATAATTACAGAAATTAAATTAGACTAAAATACCTCGATCTCTCTTAATTCTTGTTTTCAATAATTAACAATTTTAAGGCTAACTAATGATTACAATATATGTTTATATATTTTCATTTCTTCTTGTTTGTTTTTGTGTTATGCTAAATTAAAATTATTGAAATTCTGTGTAACTTTCTCATGTATTACTTAAAACCTAAATTTTTCTTACGTCAATTAAGTAATTCAGTTTTTGAAATAAAATTTATCTTTAAAATAATTCGAAGTGGTCTGTATTCTGTCGAAACTGCCAGACGCGGATCGCGATTTCGATCTTTTCGACCATTTCGAATTACTTTATTCGATTAAGTTAACGTGCCTATCACGTTGAGGTTGGCTACGCCGGGATTTGTTTTCAGCAAGATGATATTCACACAAGTGGACCTTGTTGGAGCATCGTGCTACAGATGGCGTTTACTGCGGCATTTGTAATATTTTCTAAAATTTATCTTTCTTTATCTAAATTGCATTTAAAAGGAAAACCCAATAATGTTAAAAAAATATTGCGTAAATTAAACACAATTCAAATTCATTACGTTACATTTCCAGATTGCTTTTATCAGCCTGCTAGCTGTTGCAGCAGCTTCTCCAGTGCCAAAGGCGAATCCTGACCCATCTGTAGAACACATTCCTCTTGTATATACTGCTCCTGTGACAACTTACTACTACACTTATTCCACCCCTGTTGTACATCATGCTGCTCCAGTTGTAACTTATGTTGCTCCGGTTCATTACAGTTATTCTACATGGTAGAAAAAAGACATAAACGTTTCTGTAATAATTGATGTGTAATAGTAAAAGGAAATGTTACAGTTTTCATCCAATTTCTAAATGTAGGTTTTGTAGATATAGTATATCAATTTTTTTACGATGTATTTTATTTTTAACCCTTTAGAAAACATTATAAGTAACTAAACTATATGTGCTGATTTTTTTTGTTTTTAATTAGATTAGCTTATTATTACCTTTGTTTTTCTAAATTAGAAAAATTATTTTTTTTAAACAAGGGAATCTTGAAATAAACTGAATAAATCTGCAGATTTTGTTTTTTTTTAAGAAAGTACATTTACTCTTAATTTTTTCAACAGCGTACGATGAAAGAGCAATCGAAACATTTTTATCTGTAATAAGTCATTTTTTGCATATTAATTGATACTGAACTAAAAAAAGACTGAATCTTCACTGTTAATATTCATAATTTTGAGTTGCTTAAATCAACACGAAAATGCAGTGTCTAACTCTAACTCTAATAAGTTTTTTTTAGTTTTTAGAAAAAATACAAATATCTATGTCATGGAATGAAACTTAGTTGATACTTACATTAGATTTCAACATTTATAATGTGAAACCGTGCTGGTAGACAAAATCTTGGACAATTTGTCAACATTCATATGTTTGGTGGGATATCTTTTTATAATGTGCGATTCCATCGAAGACGCGATAAACATCATGAGAGGTAAGTCGACTTTAGGGATATTATGTAGTGACAAAAGTTAGTATGCTTAGATATGCAGATGATATGGCAGTGTTAGTATGCAAGGGAAGAAAAAGTAGGGAAAAAATGAATATAGAATTATGTGACGAAAAGTGGCTAATTTTGGTATCTAGGAAGTCAGATAGCTCGGCTCGGCAGAAAAAAAGAAAAGGTTAAGAGAGATCGAAATATGGTATTACAGGCGAATGATGAAAATACCGTGCATAGAGAAGGGTAGCAATGAGCAGGCATTAAAAATAGTAGAACAGAAGGCGCTATGGAAGTCAATAAGAAATAGGCGAGATAGGCTAGTAGGACACTGTTTCGGACATGATGGGTTAATTAGAGACTTATTAGAAGCAGAAAGACGAGTTAACAGAAGGAGAAGTCGACCTACTGCCTACATATTTGTCTGCGGAGCTCATTTCTCCACCGATCATCGAGCGAGAACTAGACAAAAGTGTACAGTACCATTTGCAAAATTATTTAAACTGCCTCGTTAAAATTTATGAATGTGCTTTATTTAAAAGCATATTTAGCCAAAAATAATAACAAGTGAATTAACTTAACGTTCTACACACCTATAAAACTTTTGCCTTGTTTTCTTTTGTTAATTTTTATACATTTTTGTTTTAAGAAATTGCTAAAAATTTTCGTCTAGTACCGTACAGTTCCAACTATTTCTGCCTTGATCACGCCTAGTGTGTATTCTTTCTATCTTCGCACAGATTTCTTCAAGGTGACAATTCTAACAAATTGAAATAGACTGTAAGGTAAAAGGCCCAGTTTCTGACACTCTAAGAGTGACAGCTGAGATTATATTACGATAACTAAAATAATATTTAATTAGAATAAATAATTTTTATACTATAAACAAGTTCAGAGTTTCTAGAAAAACTCATATACGCGATATAATTATTTGAAGCGAATTAGTTATTTTAATTAATGATTTAAAAAGTGATGTTTGAAGACCCAGTTTCTGACACTTAAAATTTCTTGTGTTGTAGTTTCTGACACTGCCATCGGCCTAGTTTCTGACACTCATATTTGGTAATGATTCTCTCTCGGTTAAATTATGTATTATCAAGTTTAAATAAACTATAAGTAATTAAGTATTCATTAAAGATAAATTAAATATTTATTATAAGTAAGATATTGTTATTTTTAACAAAAATAATTAACTCCTGAAAATAACAAACAAAAATATGTATTTGTATCATCAATAAAATTTATAATTCAATTGAAAGTAAAAATTATCATAGTAATAATCATTTTAACACTAACAAAGATGAAATTTCTTTTACAACAATCATTTTCGTATTTGAAAGAATTATTTATAACAGTGAATATAATGTTTAGTTTATTCACAAAAATATTAAATGAATATTTATCGCTGTAATTACAGAAAATAGTATATCAAATCATAATAATCATAATAAATACAAATTTTGAAACATTTTATGGATGTCAACAAACAAATAACCTCCTGAGTAAGAGGTAAGAATGTGAGTGTCAATAACTGCGACATACCTATAAAATTGAGCCTAGTTATTGACACTTATATTTTATTAATAAAGCTTTATTTAATATGATATATTGATTTTTTAGACTAAATAATAGTTCATTATTAAACAATTTATATATATTTTATTGTATTTTTATACTTATATAATGATTATTTCACTGATTGAATTGTCGAACGCGCTTCCGTAATTTGCTTAGACCATAACTAAAAAATGGCTTCCGCAGTCACTCCACACTTAAAGATTTTTTTTATTAAGTTTTCTTATTTTTTATTATTGTGCTTGTCATTGATTAGGTACAGAATAAATTTATTTTAATTATTAAAAAACTTATTAACCCACTTAAGATCTTTCTTTTTTTTTAAATTCAACATAAACCTAAAATTGTCAGAAACTGGGCCAGTGTCAATAACTGGGTCTTTTACCTTACACACATTAGATTCACACATTCACAAATACTGGGATGTTCTAGTTTTAAGGAAATGCGAAGATTAGCTCAGGATGGGCAAGAGAGTAAAGGTGCGTGCCCAAACAGTTCTATAAGTGACGACCTTATGATGATGATAATGTACGATTTTGCCGATGCGAGAGCTACACACAACCTTACATAAATTTCCACTAAGGTTATATGTTAGATTATATATCCAGAGGGTTTTAATAATAATTGAGGAAGATAATTTCAAAATTTCCTGTTTTGTTGGATTCACATTATGAACGCTTTATGATAATTATATTACAATTAAAATACTTTATTGTTTCGAATTTAATTGGATAGTACAGCAAATAATATTTTCTTTTAATTGGCTATTAACTTATGTTCGAAATCCTATATTTTTACTCCTCATATGGATAGATACTACATCACTGGAGATCTATATATTTTTATTTTGTTTCGAATTATATCCATTTTGACACTAGGCTTAAGATCGACTGCATCTAATTTCTATGTTTATGGGAAATACATTTAATTGGGCTCAAAAATTTCAACATTTATTCTGATTATCCTGTTACACAGATTGATGTTTTAGATTTATTAAAATGATACTAATGATTGAAACTAATGTAAAATGACCAAAGCTGTCGTTAAAGGAATCTGGTATTGATTTTTGAGACCTATTCAACAGCATTCCAGCTGAAGATGGATAACTACAAAGAAGCTACAATAGGTGTTCTTTTTTACCATTTAACTTTAGAATTTTACTACATGTTAGGTCCAAACCGTTTGAACGTTTTTCCTTTTTATTATTCTATGACATACTATGACATAGATAAGTTTCAGATGAGATCATCATTATTTCGTAAATGGTTGATAATATAGAAAAATTGTTAAGGAAATCTGGCATTGATTTAAACAATATCCCATTCAAAATTGAATTAATTGAAATTGAATAAATTTAATTTCCACTTGCGCCCGACACAATTTTTCTTCTTTTTTTTTACAGAACTAATGGACACACAATTATGATACTTAATGTTTGGAACCCGTAAACGACGCACAATTTATTTGTAAAGTTTGAATCAATGGATTATTTATATAGGGTGCCAGATTAACACGACTGAATGTTCATGGTTAAAAATTTATTGATTTCTGGTATGGTTTCCAGTGACTATTTTTAAAAAGTTGTATTAACTATTTTAAGCAAGAGTATCTTGAATCTCCTAACAAAAAATAATTCTTTAAAGTCCGTTTTTTTTTTTCGTACAAAGGGGAACGCTTTAATAAATTTCATTATGGGAACCATTTATCACTTCCAAATATCTTTTTTCTCGTGGTCTACAGAAAAGTGAGAAAAGATGTTTCGTTCCGAGAGCACGTCTGTACTCATCAGTAAGGCTGATGACGTGCTCTCTGCTTTAGATACCTGGAGACCTGTGGGGTGTGTGACGCGAACTGGCGCGAGACAGGAGGGTCGCCACAGTTCTTTTGATTTTTGCAAATCTTCATGAACAATTCTCTTTCTGTCATATTCTGCATATTTTATATATTTTCTACTAATTCTGTACTAAATAATACACAGCTTTTTTAATTTTATGATGTGTTACTTTCTATTACTTTTAAAATCTTTATTACTTAGTTACCAAGTAGCCATTAGTCTCTACTTCTTCTATAATAAATATATATATATATTTTAAATCATTTTTTATTTATTTAACTCCTGATTCCACATATTTACAAATATAATTCATTATTTTTTTTATCATATTTCTGGAACTAATAATAACAACAATGTCATTTTGACATTGTTTACTCTAAGGAACACTTGTACATACCAGTGGCTCTTAAAATTAAAAAAAACGTTAAAACTAAATAGAAAATATATAATATAGTTAAACCATATATAACATATATTTTTGACGTTTACTGTAAAACTATTGACATCTAGGATATAATAAAGATACTATAATACACTAGCAATCAAGTTTCTATGCTAAAGCATACTTACCAGATGATAATCCTGTATTTCTTAGAGAATGACATTTGCTACCTTGTTAGAATCTTATGATTATATAAACCCAATCTATAACCATATACATACATTACAATTATCTCCATTTATTCATTCATTCATCAGTAATTTTTTTTAATGTAAGATTTTGTATGTTATTCAAATCATTCTGATTATTGGGTAGTTAACTAAACGTTTTTATTGTTTTTTAAACCGCTATTTAGTATTTATATGGAGTAGAGGCTCATTATAGCAGTATTATTAGCATCTAGCAAGGAGGAGTTCGAGATAGCTTTAAATAAAATGGATGCGATACTGTCAAAACAGTACTGTATGAAAATAAATAAAAGTAAAACAAAAATACTAGAGTGCAAGGGAATTAAAAGTATGGAAAGAGCGAATATAAAGATAGGAGACGAAAATTTAAAAGAAGTGGCTGATTTTAGGTATCTGTGGGAAGTCAGATCAACCAGGACG